AGCCCCCTCCCTAAATCCCTCTCCCCATGGTGTCCCTATTCCAATGGCCCCTGCGCTTCCCGTCTCCATGAGCTCTCGGAGCGGCCCAGACTCTGCCGCGCAGGTGGCTCCGAGTGGGATGCGCAGCGGAGGCGTCCGGAGGCTTGGCAGGAGCCCGGCATCCATCTTGTCCTCGTGTGGCTCCTCCACCGGGATAGCCGCTCGGAGCAGACCGTGGGAGGAATTGTATCCTGAGCAGCAGTGCCCGACCCTGTCCTGCTATTCCCTACGGAACCCCTCAGTGCTCCAGCAAAACCCCCTGCACGGGAGCAGCCGGAGCAGGAGGTGCCCGGTGCTGCTCGCGCTGGGATGCCCGCAAGGATCGGGCACGTCCCTTGGTCCCATCGCACCCTGCCCAGGCAGGGAGCGCTGGGGACGCTGGAAGCGGCTCTGCCGGTGGGAGCTGCACTGGGGGTGCGCGGGGCCCCCCCGCTGCCTCCCCCCAAATCCCATCGATTTAGTGCAGCCGTTCCTATGGCTGCTGCCTGGAGAGCGGCCGTGCGGCCCGCGCCTTGGCCCGGAATTAGGTCACGGGGAGCTGGCGTCCTGCGGATGTCCCGGGCCTTCACGTCCTGAGTTGGGAAGCGGCTCTGGAAGTCGGGAGCAAGTGGGAAACGAGCACGGCTGTGACAGCGTTAAGGGGCCTTGTTGCTCACGGGATGCCAAGCACTTTCCTGCGGGGAATGCGATGGGGATGTGCTTGGTGCATGCTCCGCGCCGGTGGCTTTGCAGGGAGAGGGTCGGCGCTGCCCCTTCTCCGCTTGGGCCCGTGCAGCCGGTGGCGCATCCCGCTCGGAGCGGGCGCCGCAGCCCCGGAGCGCGCTCAGCTGCAGCGCCGTAAGCAGGTGTCTATCCCTGCCCGGGCATGGAGCTTCCCGCTGTTAGCGGCCCGGATTCGGCTCCGTGCCCTGAAAGGGCAGGACGCGGCCGCTGCAGCCAGATGCTCTGCTCGTAGCTGCCGCAAATCCAYGGATCCTCCAGGATCCCACGGAGCATTTGGCCGTGCTCGCCTGGCTGCAGGGCACAGGGAGCCCCTGGGGGTGCAGGGAGCCCCCAAAGGTGCCGGGTGCCATTGCGGTGCCAGCCGCCAGGTTCACCTTGCGGTCCCCGTTGTTGCTGTCCCCGTCACCGTGCCGTTGCCATGGCTACTCTGCCATTTGATCTGCCGAACTTCCCCGTATTTTTTTGTTGTTGTTGTTTCCTCCCCCCTCGACTCCTGGCTCCGCTCCGAGGCTCCCGGAGCAGCACGAGGCTGGAGCGAGGCCGCTGCGCTGGGTGGCAGGAGGCAATGCCAAAGCAGCGGCTTGGGCACAGGGCTGCACCCTAACAGGAGGCGGCTCGGGGTGCCCTGCACCAATAGCCCTTGCAAATTAGTATATTAGCAAATTTGTTCCTGCAAATTAGTATATTAGGCATTAATGACTTAATAACGGCAGGGTTGTCATCAGCTTGAGTTGCAGGAGCAGGGATCTGCTGGAGTCCAAGGGCATTTCTGCTCCTAAAGACCTTCAGGCTTTTTTGGGCAGGGAAGGAGGAAAAAAAACCCCTTTTGCGCCGGTCAAGGCGGTGGCTGCAGCTGGAGAGGTGAGGAAGCTGCAGCAGGAGCTGCTGGGGGTCAGCACTGCATGGGGAGCGTCGGGGCTGGAGCTGGAGGACAGACCCCATCCCACCTCCAAGCACCCCTGCAGCAGAGGAGAGCAAGGCAGGCTCCTCGAGCTGCGGCCGGTGCCCGTTTTGAGCATGGAGAGGTTAAATCACCACCTGGGCATGCAGAGCTGAGCAGAACCAGCCCCGGTGCTCCCAGTCCCAGCCGTGCTCCCGAGCTGCCTGTCCTCCCACGTGTCCGAGACGCCCTCCTGCTGTAATTGCAAGGCCTTAATGATGGTATCTGCAGCACCGGGCGCGTGCTCCTCTTCCCTGCTCTGGTTGCTCTTTGCGGATGGCTCCGGCTTATCATTCAGCTCTTTCTACTCCGGCTCATCCTTTGCTGAAAAGCATTTAAAAAATGTAATAAGGAGGAGCAGATTAAATCCACTTTGCTGCTATTTTTCAAGGAGACTTTTTGTTTGTCAAGACATGGTGCCTGAGGGGGACTCGATCAGAAACAGGGACTTCTGGAAATGAGTTAATTAAAAAGCCAATGAAACCACTGCCGTCCCTCCCGTCGGTGGAGCGTGCTGGGGCTGCCACCCGTTTAGGAGGGATGTGTTGGCTCCCGTCTTGTTAATCACAGCAGATTTGTGCTGTAATTGCTAACTGGGGGAAGTCAGTGCAATGACTCCTTGGATTTTGTTCACCTCCTGCTCATCTCCTGGGCCAGTCACAGGCTGCTTTTATTCCCCCTCAACTATAAAATGTTCCGGGCTAAATTTTCCCAGCTCTGGCTTTCCCTTCCGCTGCAGCGTGCATGTGAGCGTGCACCTTGGTGTGCATGCCTTATATGAGCCTATAAGGCCTCCAATGAGCACATAAGTGCACTTCTACGCTTGCATTTGTGTCCCGGTGCCCGCTGCAGGGCACGTGTGCGTGCACATGGATGCACCATCGGCACGGCCATGCCTTGGGAGGGCCCCGAGCGCCGGCTGGTCCATCATCCTGCAGCATCCCGGACATGACTTTCATTGCAATTATCTCAGCCTTTGCGGTGCTCGCTGCCTTCCGCGCTGCTCTGCCTACAAGCGAGCTGCCTGTTTTATCGGTTGTAACAGGGCTGTCGTTTCAAATCCGCTCCCAGACCGTTATCTCCCTTTGATGCTTTTGAAGAGCCGGAGATATGTTAATTCTACCTTGGCCCTCTCTCCTTCCCTTTTCTTCTCGGCACAAATCCGCCCTCGTCATCTCGGCCAGCTGCAGCATTATGTGCGTTTCCATGGGCCGATCCGAAGGGTGGGAAGGCGAGCTGGGGCTCCCGCTGGGTCCCTTCTGCTTTGGGGACACCGGTGCAAGGAGGCCCTGCCCAAGGGCTGGCTGCCTTCCTGAGCAAGGCTTGATCCATCCCTTCTCGGTCACCAGCCCTTGGTTAAAGCGCATCCCCGGAGCAGAGCCTGGTGGAGGGCACTTGTGCAGAGYGAATCCGTGGGTTTTGCCCGGGGAAAGTCTAAGCTGGTGGAAAGCGACCCAGTGGTGGCAGAGGATGGACCGAGTGCTGTCCAGGCTCTGAAATGTGCCCCGTGCTCAGGGCCTTGGGAGCCCCGGGGACAGATGGGCTCCTGTGGACGCCCGGGCCAAGGCACCAGATTGCCGGTCCTGCCGCTCCGCGTGCGGTCCAGGCAGCGCTTCCCTGCCCGCTCCCTCCATTCCCGCTTGGCTGCCGTCTCCTGCACCCCACAACCAGCATCAAGTCGATCCCAAACTCCCCCCTTCCCAATTCCAGCTGTGCTGCTCCCTCCATGCTGAGTTAAAGCACGTAAAGATGCTGGAAAGATGYGTCTCCTGGGGCTGCATCGGGATGCTGGGAAGAATCCCAAAGCAAGGAGCAGCCGCGAGCATGGGCAGGGGATGGGTGCCGTGCTCCGGGCTCTGTTCCCTGGAGCAAATTGCTTCCAGAACATTCTTGCCTCGCTCCCATTTGGGATTCAGACAAGCCTGTTGGCTCAGTGTGGAGTGACGGCGTTTGGTGGGGATGTAATTTATAGGCTTTGTGATAAGCCTGTCCAGTCATCCTAAAATAATAAATAAAATACACACCAAGGGCTGGTGTGAGATAGCATCAGTAATATCAGGGTCTGAGGAAAATTGCTGCGACTCTTCAACGGTGAAGAGGGTGGCAGGAGAGTCTTTGAAGACAGTCGTGAGCATCATGTCTGGGCCCTTGGGAGAGTGGGTGCTGCCCGCCCTCCCTGTTGGAGGGGGCAAACCTGATAGGGAAGGGGGGGATGATGCTTTTTCCTCTTATTCCTATAAAATTGGCCTTAATAAATGACGGGGGCAGCTTGAATGGCCTCCACACGTGGCCGCGGGGAGGCTGGATGGAGGCTGCTGCGAGGTGCCGTTGCAGGGTCGCTGTCCCACGTCGCGACACCCGAGACCTCGCTGACTTGGAGCAGCTCCTCAGACCCTTCCCGAGGTGACGCCAGCCCCGTGGCCTCCAGCAGGGGTTTGCGGGAGGAATTTGGGCTGCCGTGCAAGGAATTGGTGCAGATGGCATCTTAACCGCTCGCTGTGCCACCATTAGCTGTGATGGATGGTTGCTTTTGACACCGAAAGGCGTCCTCCCAAAGCTAGGCTTTCCCTCCCAAAGCTAGGCTTTTACTCCCAAGCTCCTGGTGTTCTGGCAGAGCTCTGTGTGCCCAGGACAGGCTCAGGTCCTGCTGCCTGTTACCCAGTCACGCCTGGTGAGCGGGGCTCAGGGCTCCTCTGCCTGGCGGTGCCCCTGAGTCACGGTGTGCCCTTGGAAAAGACCTTCGTGCCTCGAGGCTGGTCTGCAGGAGCAGCCTGCGCTCGTTTGCCTTAAATTGCTTTTTAAACAGCTTTCGTTTGCTTAATGCAGGGCTTTATCTTGGCTGYACGAGTGTCTTAGGGGATATTAATGTAAATGGCGCCGGTGCCAATTTTTGAGTTGGAACTGGAGCGTCCTACTGAAGTATGAGAGGAGTCTAACAGGTGGATTTGTAAGAGGGTCCGTGTTGACGTGCGCAGACCAGACTCCCATTTCCCTCCTCGGCAAAGGGGTTAATATCTGTGGCAGCAAATCTCTTTTGGATTCCCAAGGTCCTTGAATAAATGCTGCAGGGTGGCCTGAGAGAAATGGAAAAGCGTCTTTCCGCGTGGATCCTGGGAAGACCCCGGGATCCTGTGGATCCCGGGCGGGGAGCGGGGAGCTCRCTGGGGAGCTGGCCTTGCACAACGGGCGTCATCCCGTGTCCCTCCCAGCGAGCTGGGTTTGCAGCCGCGCTGATCCCGCTGGAGGAGGAAATGCTGCGGGAAACAAAGATAGGCGGCCTTGAGAAAGAGCGGTTGGGAACTTTGATCCCCGTAAAGGACTGTTGAAGCAGGAATTGCTCCGTGCCTGCTTCTCCTGCCTGCAATCTGCGTGGCTTGGGGTGCCAAAGCGTTCTTTTCTCGCAGAAAAGGTGGGTCGCGTTGGTTGTCCCCAAACCTACCTGCCCTTCTGCTGGACATGCCGCCTCCTCGAGACTCTTGTCCCCCGAGGCCTCGGGGTGTTGCAGCTAGCCCGYTTGTGTCGGCGTTATCCTGGTCTGGCCTATATGGTCCGTACTCTGCCTTGGGGTAGTTTTGGTGCCAATCGCTCTGTGTGCAGCCCCCAGCATGTCGTGCTCTGAAGCGCTTTGCAGCTGGACGTGTGTCCCCTGGGGTGGCACTTGCCACCTTGTCATCCCCTGGGGTCTCACCYGCCTCCCGCATCCCAGCCGTGCAACACCCTGGGAAGACAGCATTGCTTCCTGAGATTGCATCCGATGTCTTCATCCACATGCCCAAGCGCAGCTCCGAGCATCCCACGGGAAACCGGGTTCCTGTCCCTTACTGGGGGCTGGTGATGAGGGCTGGAGGCTTCCGCTTTCCCGGCTTTGCTGCCGCCAGCTCCCATCCTTCCCTCCTGCACATCGGCCTGACAGCCATGGAGATGCAGCGGAGAGGCAGCCCAGGGAAGCGGCGAGGGCAAATCCCGCAAGATCCCTTTAAAACTGCAAATTATTCTGGCTTCCAGCGTTGCCTCGAGGGCAGCGGCCTTGCAAGCGCTTGCCAGGACAGTGCCCACGAACTGGGGACCCTGCGAGCAGCGCGGGGCTGCTGCCCCTGTCATCCCGTCCCCGTTAATCTGCACCCCACGTGCATTCCTAGGGAGCATCGCCGGGGTTCCTGCTCGCCCAGCTCCATGCTGCCGTTCCCATAGGAGCTGCTTCCCCTTCCCCAGGAGCAGCAGGAGTCTCAACAGACCCGCGGGGAGGGACTTGAACCAGGAACGAGAGCAGGTTTAATGTCACGGTTTAAAGTCGTCAATTCTCAAATGGAAAACAAAAGCCAAAGCAGAATCTTAATGGTATTTTTTTTGTTTGTTATTTTTTGTTAGCAACCCAACTACTGGAGCTTTAAGGTCAGTACTTCTGATTTTTCATGCTTCTGTTTGAAATGCATGCGGTTTTCCAGCCTTGCTGCATCCCTGTGTCTGCGGAGGGTGGGTGGGAGCTTGGGGATTGCATCCAGGATTCCTGGGCCGCAGTAGTTTTGTTTCCAATTTGGCAGGAATTTAAACTTGCAGGGAGGATCTTCGTGCTTTTGGATTGGAGCTGTTGTGAGGAGACAAATCCGATATGTGAAAGGGATAAATGTGGGTCCTGCCCTCACATAGACCCCCGTAGAGTCACTGTTGCAGCCCGCTGTTTTGGAATCGCTCCATTGCAACAGGGATTGGGATGCTGCTCCCTTAATCCTGGAAAAAGGACAGGGAGGAAAACCCATTCCAGATACGCTCCGGCATCTGCGAGGCTCCATCCAGGGGCCGGTTCCTGGTCTTAGACAGAAGGTCGGTGTGAGCTGCAGCCTCGGCAGGGAGGAGAGGGAGCAGGAGGGGCCGCTCCTCGCTGCATGCGCTGTGCCTGTCCCTTGCACTTGGCTTGAGCACTTGCACGCCGCCGTTTCCCCCSGTTTTGCTTCTCGCCTCTCCCTCGGAGTCTCCCCTCGTTGCACAAGCAGCCAGAGGCTCTTTCCGCTTTTACGTGCGGGAGCTGAGGCCGGGCTCCGCGGCGCCCCGCTRTGCGCTCCGGGGCGCGAGGCCCCGCGCCCTGTTCTCTGCCAGCTGCACCTTACAGTGCCGCGCAAGTGTCTGCGGGTGGCACAGCAGCAGAATCACCGGTTATTCGCTTTATTGCACTAGGACCTGCTTTGTGCCCCAGGCAGCCCAAAGGAGACCCCAGCGGGCATCCCTGGGCCGTGCCAAGGACCCGTGCGTGGCCGGTGCTTCCCGCCAGCCCCTTCCGAGCTGTTCCCGTCTTGTTCGGCCGCGTAAAATGTGCTCGTCGCAGCAATTCCCCTTCCTGCCTCCTCCTCCTCCTCGCGCCGGGATGCGGCGGCTGCGCTCCAAGGTCGCCCGTGTTGCTGGATGACCTTGGCATGTTGTCCCTGGTGGGGCTGCGCTTCCTGCAGGAGCGAACAGGCGTTTTGCTTGGCAATGCTGGGGTTGGGTTGTCCAAAAACGCACAGTATGTGCGCTTGTTCCGAGTTTTCATTCCTGAAGCGCCTGGGAAGCGCGTGCCGGCAGCGGCTCTCCATGTATTCCGCTGCCGGCGCTCTCCCTGGCAAGCTCTGGTCACGTCCCACCTCTGGCATTCCCTGGCACTGTGGGGAAAGGCACGAAAGGATCGCTTTATTTTATTGATTTATTGTGAATAAGGRAAGAAACAGCCAGGAGCAGCTCTGGGTCCTATAGCGTCCCATAGGGTCGGGATACCTTTGCGTTGCAAATGTGGCACCTTCCAGTGGCTCTGTCCCCTCCTGGAAATGCAGCAAGGGTTAAATTGCTGATGCATCAGCACAACCTGCGCTGGGGTCCCCTTGGCGCTGGGCTGGTGCCCCGGATTCGGACTCTCTGCACCTAGATCTGTTGAAGTTGTGAGGTTTCTTGCTTGTTTGTGTGCTCGGAGGGTGGCTGTGAGGGGTGTCGAGGTCACCGAGATGCTCAGGGTACCCACGTTAATCTGGGGCCCCGTGCAGGGTTTGTCCCTTGCTCCTGTGCACATCTGGCTGCCGGGAGCCGGCTGCGCACATCTGGTGGGGAAAGGCCCCTTCCTTTAGTCAAGGGGTCTGGTTTTAAAAACTAATCCGATTTTAACGCTAATCCTGTTAACATTGAGATCAGGATTAATTCTGCCTTAATCGGGATAATCCTGACAATGTGGAGCATTAGACATCGGTTGAATTATTGTTGCCGTGAGCAGCGGGCTCTTAATTCGGCGGCGAGACCCAGGCGGGGCCAGCGGGATTGGGGCTGGGATGGCCCTGGCCACCTGCGCTGGGGGCGGCGCATGGGATACCATGTCATCCCCATGGGAGCACCCAGGACCCCTCTCCTCCTTGATCCCCCGTTTCTGCAGCCCGGTTGCTTCCCAGTTGCCGCCTGTTTTGCCCTCTGCTGCTTCCGGATGCACGGAGCACATGGAAACACGGGGCTGCTGCCCAGAGCTGGCACTGGCGGTGGGAAGTGTCCCCTTACCCGGGCTCCGCTCGTCTTACCGAGGAGCCGTGGGCTCGTTGCTCTCGAGGAGCATCAATAATGGAGCGGCGGCCGCATCGTTAGGAAGGAGCGGAGCGCTCGGAYGCGCTGGCGCCGCTCGGCTCCTCTCCCGCTTTGCAGCAAGGTTCCTCGGTGGCACGAGCTGGTGGCACCGCGGTGGCCGCTTCTGGTGCCCGGGTCGGCCTGTGTCCTGCCAGGGTCCCCTCCTGGGCAGGGAAGGGCAGATGCTGCCGAGAGCTGGGTTGAATTACGGCCAAGTTGGTTCTTCCCGACCCCAGGCAAACAGATGGGAACAGGTTGGCCGGGCTGAAACACTGCAGTGGCCCTGAGATGGGGAAGGCAGAGACATGGAGGGGAAATGTTACCRAGGGCAAAACTGCTGGGAATGCTCCCACCTCCTCCCTGCTGGTTTCTTTAACAGCTCGYGGAGCTGCTTGGAAGGGGGGGAAAAGTTTCAAATTTCAATTAAAAATTTCCTTGGAAATGTTGACAGCAGGAGAGCTGCGGGAGGGACAGATGTTGTTTTTCTTGCAGCTTTGCTAACAGCTCGGTTGGCGCTGACCCCGCTCGGAATCAGGAGGGTGCGYGGAGCCACCCGGCCACTTGTGTCCCCGCGTTCCCTGCGCTCCAGCACCGGCATCCCGGCACGCGTGGCATTCCCACCTGCAGGGAGAGGCTTTCCCGGGAAGCCAAGCTCCTCTGACATGCCGATTTATTTATTTTTCCCCAAAGGCTGCAGCTGAAGAGCTCCGTGCCGGAGCTGCATGGGGCATGGGGGCTGCAGCCGGCGCCGAAGCTTTTCCAGAGGAGACCAGGGAGTTTTTCCCCATCCCTTTGTTTCGGAAATCCAAGCAAAAGCAGCTAGAGGCCGGTGGGATCCGGCCCCCTCTAGCAAAGGGGAATGCACAAGCTCGCCGCGCTGCTGCCCGTGGCCGGCTCGCCGTGCGTCACCAGATGGGCCCTGCAGCCGGACCCTGGCTTAACTGGGGAGCAGGAGATTACGAGGAATTAATCCAGATCGGTGTCCGGGCTGGGGCTGCAGCTGGGGGGGGTTATTTACCCGGTAAATAACCAGTTGTGCTGCTCTGCCGGGGGCTGCGCTGGCCTCGCCAGCTGCTCCCGGGCGGCTCCAGGCTCCTGCTCCATATCCCCAGCCCGATACAACAGGGAACAGGCTGGAGATGCTGGACTTTGGCTGTGCGGCAGCTTGATGGAGTGGGGCGGCCGGCCGGGGCCTTTGAAGGGCTCCGTCCATCTGTCCCTCCGTGCGTCCCCGGCAAGGGCGGTGCGCGGCCAGCCCGCCTGTCCTCGGCGCATTCCAGCGCGTTATCTCTGCGAACGTGCCCGCATGGCGCGTGCGAAGGGGGGCCGGGGGCTGCCCTCGCGCCCGCCCGCAGCTGCTGTCCGCGTGCCCGGCCGCTCGCGCCGAGCACGGCCCCGGCGGCGGCTCCGCTCCGCGACCGCGGCGGCTGCGGCAGGGGCCGAGCTCCAGGCCACTCGGTGCCGGGGACGCTAGCGTGAAGGTTTATCCGGCCCGGCTGTGCGCTCAGGTCTGTGTTGGTGCTTTGGGGGTCCTCCAGCCGCTTTTGGGGGGTGTGTGGGGCTGGCGTCTGTGCCAGGACAGGCTGCAAGCTCTGGGTGAGCCGGGTGGCACCTGGGCGGCGCAGGGAAGCTCCATGGGCAGTGCAGGGAAGCTCCATGCGCATCCCGGTGGGATGCGCCGGGGCCCGGTCGTGCCGCCTCGTTTCTGTCAGATATATTATCCTTCTGGAAATGTTATCCTTCTGGAAATGTTATCCTTCTGCAAATGTTATCCTGCTGCAAATGTTATCCCCGCTGTGGCTGCTGCACCCAAGCGCACCGCAGCTGGCGGAACAGACCCGGGGCGCTCGTGGGTGTCGCGGGGAGGGCTGGAGCCCGGGGGGAGGCGAGCAGAGGAACCTCCTTATCTGGCTGCGCTGATATAATGAAGCTGTTCTCAGCGCTGACAGTAATGGGATTGTTGGAAGTTTTAGACACCAAAAGAATTGCTTAATTGTRTCTTTTTTTAGCTCTGGGGAGATAGGAGACAAAAGTCCCGAAATATTCCCCCCTTTCCTCATCCCACGGTGCTGGATGAAGCTGGGCAGGATGAGTGGGGGCCGCCTTGCCGGCTCATGCGGTATCTYGGAGCACGGATAAGGCAGTCGTGAGGCGGAGCATTAACCCCAATCCCTCTGCACGCTCCCTGCTCTGCCAGGACCCCGCGCTTCCCAGGATAATTGTCACGGYGGCGCTGCCCGGCTCTTCCTGGTGCTTCATCCCTTCGGCTCCTGGTCCCGGACTCCTGGGCCCCACGTGCTCGGCCGTGGTGCGCAGTGCAGGAGGCCAGAGGCAGCRGGCGAAGCCCTTGGCTCCCTGGGGCTCCCGATGCAGGCTAATGAGCAGAACGGTCCCTCCTGGGCGACAAACCCATTAATTTTCCTCCTGCTCTTTAGAAAGAAAAAAAACGTTGCTGGGTGATGTCATCGCTTGTGCTCTCAGGTGACCTTGGTGACTTGGGCCAGCTGAAGCCTTGGGGAGGAGGATGAGGATGGGACAGGGAAGCTCATCCTCCCCCCCCGCTCTGCGCCCGTGGGATGCGTCTCTGCGGATGCGGGAAGCGTGCTGGGATGCAYGGAGCCGCAGCCCGTAGCAACAAGGATGCTCCGTGGCAACCGCAGCCTCTGCGTCCCGGAGTGTCACGGAGAGAGACACATCCCCGCCCTCGCTGCATCGATCTGCCCGTGATGATGATGATGATGATGGGATTTTTTTTTTCCCCAGACAAAACACGCCTTGGGGAGGGGATGCGCTGAGCTCTGCACGATCAAACCGTCTTTGGCCTCGGGTTGTAGCTCAGCTTGCAAAGCCCAGCCCGGGCTGGGTGCTGACGGGGGGCAGCACCATGAAACCGGAGTGGTTTTGTCCCCAGCACTGGAGACTTGGTGACTCCAAGTCCTTGAGGGCTCCTGGCTGCCTGTCCTGGGTCTGAAGTTGCAGGATTTTCTCTGGAATACATTCCTGGGAGAAAAAAAATGGACATCTGTCACCTGGGAAGAGGCAGCTCAGAACCAGGTCTCCTGGCCCTGCAGGGCACAGGCTGGTTCCTGCGCCCAGTGTCGAGCTGCTGGGAACAAATACCTGGGTGCATTTTGTGCAAAAACAACAGAAATAGGCAGTCAATTTTCCAGCAATTAGCTACAGAGAGAGCATTTCAAGTTGTAGGAAACCCCGCCCCGCAGGATTAATTAAAGCCTCCAATTAATGCCTAATTTAAATGATGATGATGGCTGTTATCATTTCATATTGATTTTTTTTCCCTTTCTGCTCTCAAAATAGAACTGCCGTCCCTTCCGTGCTGCCTTTTCCACACCCCGGGAGCTGTTTGTTCCCTCCCGTTGATTTGTCGCGGTTAAGCGTGCGCGCGCAATGGGGCTTGGCGCCGCGCCGGGCAGGCTCGCCCCGCACGGACCTGGATGCTCCGTGTCCCACGGGATCCRGTGTCCCCGTGTCTGTCCCGTGTCCCCATGTCTGCCCTGCACCGGGATGCTGTGGCTCTGTGGATGCAGCTCCTGGCCATGGTCCCCAGCTGGGGCCACAGACAGGACTTGGGGACGTGTGCGTAGAGAAGCCTTGTCCGTAGCCGGGCYGCTTGCACGCAGGATATATACCTGGCCGTGTGAAATTGGACTCCCAGCATATTAAATTTTTACTACTGTAAACCCAAGCCCATTACGTTCCCGCAGCTCGGGCAGCCGTAAACCTTGCTGCTTCCAGAACCAACCAGGCATTTATGTTTCCCGGGAGCGCCTTCGTTGGCGTAATGGATGTCTAAGCTGTAATTGCGAAGGTTATCGGTTGTTCCCGCGCTCGCGTGCGAGCCCTGCCTYACGTGCAGAGCAGCTATCCGTGGGTTTATTTCCATGGGTTGCGGCAGAGGTGCCTGGAATGGYGCTGGAGGCTTCGGGATGCCGAATGCTGCAAGCGGCRAGYGCGCYGCGGTGCCAGGTGAGGGGCGTTGAGTGCTCGTGTGTGCTTGGAGCAGGGGATGGAGGAAGCCTGGAGCTTGGTCCTGCCTCTGGATGGTGCTGGGGGGCTGAGCAGCTCCCCTGCTGCCGCCTCCCCGTGACCTCTCCCTCCTCCCTCTGCAGACACGGAGCTCCCGACATTCCCAGGGCTCCCAGCCCGGCTTGGCCGACCAGGCCAAACTCTCCTTTGCCTCGGCCGAGTCCCTGGAAACCATGTCGGAAGCGGAGCTGCCGCTGGGCTTCAGCAGGATGAACCGGTTCCGGCAGAGCCTGCCGCTGTCGCGCTCGGCCAGCCAGACCAAGCTGCGCTCGCCAGGTACCGTCACCCTCGCCCGGCGCTGCCGGCAGCCGCGGGGGGCTGCAGGGCTCCCGCTTTGGGCGCGGAGCCCCCCAAACCCTCTAGTTTGGCCCCTTGCTGCCGAGCCGCGCTCCTCGGCGGCGCCTCGCGCTCCGCGCCGCCGCTCACGCCTCGCTCCGCTTCCAGGGGTCCTGTTCCTGCAGTTCGGTGACGAGACGAGGCGCGTCCACATCACCCACGAGATCAGCAGCATGGACACGCTGCACGCCCTCATCGTGCACATGTTCCCCCAGAAGCTCACCATGGGCATGCTGAAGTCGCCCAACACGGCCATCCTCATCAAGGACGAGGCGCGCAACGTCTTCTACGAGCTCGAGGACGTGCGGTGAGGCTGCGGGATGCTCCTGCGGGGCTTTTTCCTCCTCCGACTGCTGCTCTGCCTGCAAGGATGGGCCAGTGCCTTCCTTTGCTATGGGGGGGTCCAAAGACCTTTGCAACGGAGGAGGGTTTTCTTGGAGCTGATGCAGGGACCAAAGGCCGCATGAGGGTCTTGGGAAGAACCTGGAAAAACTAGGACAATATTTGCTCATCTCTGCAAAGCCTGACCCAGGAAAACCTGGGAAACCATGGAAACTGCTGGACCGACTACTCCTACTGCTGGCACATGAGATTGATTTCCCTTTCTTTGAGGGCTTCAGAGAAGATGAGATTAGTGGGATGGGAGCAGAAGGATGTGGGTGCCGTGGGGGCTGGCAGGGCACCCCACGACGTGCCTGGCTCACAGCTCTCCCTCTCCTTGCAGAGATATCCAGGACAGAAGCATCATCAAGATTTACCGCAAAGAGCCGCTCTACGCCTCCTTCCCAGCCTCGCACCTCACCAACGGCGACCTGCGGGTAAGAGGGGCACCCGTGTGTCCGCGGGGTGCCACGGGCCCGCCCTGCGTCCCCGGGCTGCGGTTGGGGAAGAGGGATGTGACGGAGCCCGAGAGGCTGGTGATGGGCGCAGGAGCAGTGACTGCTTCACATCCCGGGTGCTGCAGTTACTGTTAATGGATGCGGAGAGTAACAGGCGGTAGGGAATTCATGCGGAGGCGCGGATGCCCACGTGGTGTGCGTGCGGATGCGCACAGGGAGCACACAGATGCGCACAGGGAGCACACGGGTGCACACAGGGATGCCTGGCTGTGCACGTGCATGCAGAGCATCCCGCCGGAGCCTCCTCAGTGGGGACCCGGACGTGCCCCCTGTCCGGGGGTGGCACTGCGGTGGGCAGAGCCGGGCGAGGGGCCACGGGCGGCCGAGGCTCACGGTGTCCCCCGCTTGCAGAGGGAGATGGTGTTTCCGTCGCGGGAGTCGTCGCCCACGCGCCGCCTCAACAGCCTCTCCCCGGCCTCGCACCTGGCCTCGGCCTCGCCGCCGCCCGCGCTCCAGTCGGCCTCGCCGTCCCGCTCGCGCATGTCGTACAGCGGCGGCCGCCCGCCCTCCTACGCGGGCAGCCCCGTGCACCACGGCGAGCGGCTCGGCGGCCTCCCGCCCGCCGCCGGCGTCTCGCCCAGCCCCAGCGCCATCCTGGAGCGCCGCGACGTGAAGCCCGACGAGGACCTGGCCGGCAAGAACGTGATGCTGGTGAAGAACGAGGGGCTCTACGCCGAGCCCTACGGCATGGTGCACGAGGGCCGCCTGAGCATCACGTCCACGCAGTCGCTGGCCGGCATGGCCGAGCCCTTCGGCTACCCCGGTGGGCTCTACAAGAGGGGCTCCGTGCGCTCGCTCAGCACCTACTCGGCAGCCGCCCTGCAGACGGAGCTCGAGGAGAGCCTGTACAAGCCGGGCGCGCCGGTCTACGGTGACGCGTACGGGCCCGGGCTGCCCTTCCGCATGCCGCCCTCGTCGCCGCAGAAGGTGCCCGACGGGCGCCTGGTAGACGTGCCGCCCGGGCAGAGCCCCCACAGCCCCTACTCGGGCCCGCCGAGCCGCTCCTCGCCCGTGCGCCAGTCCTTCCGCAAGGATTCCTGCTCCTCCGTGTTCATGGAGAGCCCCGTGAACAAGCCGCGCAACCCCGGCGCCGCCGGTGCSGCCGAGCTCTTCCCGGGCCCTGGTGAGCGCCCGCTCTCCGCGTTCGGCTCTCCSGTGCCGGCGGCCAAGGACGCTGAGACGAGGTGAGGAAGGCAGCGGGAGGAGCTGCCCCGGTGCTGCCCAGCATGTGCCTGGGCGGCTGGAGGTGCAGCCAGGGTGGGCTCAGCCCCTGTGGCTCCAGGAGCGGGGAAAGGATGAGCCCCAAATCGTGCGGCCCCCATGGAGCAACTTGGAGGCGGTCGSGGAGGATGGAGCGGGCCAGGGACCGCGGGAACCTCGTGGTGCTGCTTGTCACCATTCCCAGCATGGGGAGTGAGCACTCCTAGTGCCATGAGGGTGGAGGGGGGTCTCGCAGGGACCCTGCGGTGGGTGGGTGCGTGATGGGGCCACCCTGGGTGCTCATGCGGCCCCTCTCGCAGGGAGCGCATGGAGGCCATGGAGAAGCAGATCGCCAGCCTGACGGGGCTGGTGCAGAGCGCCCTGCTCCGCGGCTCCGAGGCCGAGACCCCCAGGTACGGAGGGGAGCGGGACGCGCGGTGGGGGGCAGCAGCCCCCGTCGTGTCCCTGCTCGCGGTGCGGGGGAGGATGCGGGTGCCTCGTCCCTGCTCACCCCTCTCCTCTCTCTTGTTGCAGCGAGAAGACGGAGACCACGAACGGCGGGACCCCGCCGTCAGTGTGTGAGTGAGCGGGGGGGCAGAGCCAGCCCCCGGTGCCCCGACCCCAGGCCCTCATTGGGACTCCCTCTTGGAGCCCACCGGGGTTTGCACAGAGCCGTGGTCCTGGGAGACGCTGTGGGCAGAGCCCGGGAGGGGGCATTCCCTGGGAGCAGCACGTGCCCTGGGATGGGGAATCTCCTCCATGGAGCTGAAGGGCCCAAACCCAAGGGRAGAGCAGAAATGGGGGCAGCAAAGGGGCTGGGACAAGAGTCCCCCATGCCCTGAGGCTGGGGGACGGGCCAGGCAAGAGGGGTCCTGGGCTGGGAACTGCAGGGACAGCGAGAGGGCGACGCTGCCCTTAGCCCCCCCGTTTTCCCTCGGTGCAGCAGCCAGCCGGAGCGGCACGGGGACGCCGGTGCCCCCGCCGCCCTCGGCCACGAGCACGCCCGCGGGCCAGCCCACGGCCGTCACTCGCCTGCACATGCAGCTGCACCTGCACGACCTGCAGCAGAACGCCAGCGACCTCCGCAACCAGCTGCAGCAGCTCAAGAAACTGCAGGTGGGTCCTGCCAGGAGCCCCGCTGCGGACCCCAGCCCATGCCAGGGCATGGAAACCCATCCCTCTTTCCTGGTGTCCTTGCGGAAAAGTCCTTGTGGAAAAGTCCTTGTCTTCGTGTGGCGGAGCTTGCTCTGTGAGGGGTGCTCGTGCAGGAGGGCGCTTCACTAAGCGCAGAGCCTGGATGGCATCTGGGGCCTCGATGCAGACCCAAAGGTCTCATGGCCCGTTTGTCTCGTCTGCAGCTGCAGAACCAGGAGACGGTGAAGACCATGCTGCGGCGGACGGAGACGGAGATCAGCGTGCGGGTGACGGACACCATGCGCAAGCAGGAGGACCCGCTGCAGCGGCAGCGCAGCTTGGTGGAGGAGGAGCGGCTGCGCTACCTCAACGAGGAGGAGCTCATCACCCAGCAGCTCAAGTGAGAGCCCCTGCTGCTTGGGGCCCCTCGAGGCGCCGGCACTCACCTTGGGTTGGGGTTCTTGCATGCCAGGTCGTGCACGGCGTAAATGGCATCCCTGCGTGGGGTCCCCTGGAGCGATGGGGGAAGGTGTCACGTCCGCAGCCCTGCTCTGCGCCCCGCCATGCAGTGCAGGACACGAGCAGGGRACACCTGCGCTGCTGCTCTGCCCAGCCCCAGCGTGACGGTGACATCCTTGTCCTGCCTCTGTGTTTGCAGTGACCTGGAGAAGTCCGTGGAGAAAATCCAGAAGGATTTAGCCCACAACCACCGACTCATCCCGGTGCAGGAGCTGGAGGAGAAGGCTGTGGTGTTGAAACAACTTGGGGAGACCCTGACAGACCTCAAAGGTGAGTGGCAGTGAGCACAGGGGACAGGGGACACCCCGGGGACCCACAGGGCTGGCAAGTGGCAYCTGCTGCCATCTCCCTGCTCCGTCCGTGCTGCGGCAGCCCCCSTTGGGTGCACAAACTGTTTGGTTTGTGCTTGCATGCCGGGCACCCCCAGTGCTCGTGCGCTTTGCCGACCTGCTTCCTATGCACCTGGGCCACCGGCCCGTGGGACAGGCACCTTCATGGCCTCAGCATGTGCCTGTGTCCCCAGGGAGCTGCGCCGCTGGCCCTGCACAGCCGCACTGCTGTCCCTGCACGTCTCTCCCTGCATGGCCGAGCTGCTGTCCCTGCAGCTGCACTGCTGTCCCTGTGACAGTGCTGCCCTCGGAGCCCCGTCCCTGCTCGCTCTGCTGTCCCCGGCCATCCTGCACGCGCTGCCCACTGTCCCCCCACAGCTCGTGGCTGTCCCAGCCGCAGGGTGGCACGTGGCTCTCGCGCACCCTGCGCATACTGCGTTTCCCTCTCCTCCCCATCCTGCTTTTTGCAGGCAGATGCGTGCGGCGCTTGGATGCGTGGGGCCAGAGTCCCTGTGTCCCCAGGCCATGGCCGCAGCGGATGATGATTTGATGGACAGGGGGGTCCAGGGGGTCTCGGGGGTATGGGACAGAGGTGCAAACARCTCAATTCCCCCCAGCCTTTATAAAAACCGAGGCTGACGCTGAGCAGCCCGGACAAGCRAGCGGAGCGCGGCAGGGAGCCAGCTCCGCATTGCGCGCTGCCTGCTCACCAGGGCCACCGTCCAGGCTGAGCAGCCTCCAGGGCGCATCCCGCTCCATGCGGCAGGGCGCGCGTGCCGCGGGAGCGAGGATGGGCCCGGGGGACAGCGCGGGGGGCCCGCGGCGCCGCCGTGACCCCCGCCGTCCCGCCGCAGCCCAGTTCCCCAGCCTGCAGAGCAAGATGCGCGTGGTGCTGCGCGTGGAGGTGGAAGCCGTCAAGTTCCTCAAGGAGGAGCCCAACCGGCTGGACGGGCTGCTCAAGCGCTGCAAGGCGGTCACGGACACCCTCGCGCAGATCCGCAGGTGAGCGCCGCCGCCGCGGCCCCCCAGCCCTGCTCTGCACCCCACAAATAACTGCCTCGCCCCTCTGTGCACCCCGGCAGATGTGACTCTGATGAAGGAAATCGTGCTCTGTATCTAACGATAGTTGTCACGGGGAGGCCGTGCCGGCGCTGAGCCCGCCTGCCTGCTCGCATTACGAGACCCTTGGTGATCGCTTGTAGCTTGGCCAAATTGGAGGAGGAATGCTCCATCGCCGGGGCTCGCCTCGGGCTCTTCTCTAGCCTGGTTTTCTAGGGAAATGAGCTTCTATGATCACTCAGTGTATGAATCTGCCTACCTGTCATTCCCCCTTTCCTAATAATTCCTGAATCCAGTGGCCAGCTGCAGCCAAATTGAACAGAGGAGCAGAATTCTGAGCGATGCCCGTTTCTCATGAGTTTCATCACGGTGGATGTCGGGTGGAGGGCACGGGTGCTGCTCCTTCGTAGCCACCAGAGAATCCAAAGCTCCAGCTGCGAAATGCAGGCGTTGGGGAGAGCGGGGTGGTGACGGGGCTGGGGGTCGTGTCCGTGCCGCACGGTGACCTGGTGCCTTCCGTGTCCCCRCCAGGCAAGTGGAGGAGGGCGTGTGGAGCACCCCGAACAGCCTCAGCCAGTCGCCCAAGAAAATCGCCCCCGAGAGCGACTTCAGCAAAGGGCTGGATTTGGAGACCCCGCCGAGCCCCCCCGTGAGCCTCCATCACCTGCCACCCGTCCCAGAGCCCCTGGGCATGGCCGGCTTTGGGCACAGCCCCCCCCAGACCCAGAGCCACCCCGGCAAGAGCAATAACCCTGCCCGTGCTCCGGAGATGGTTCCTGCCAAGACCCAGACGGGCCCGGAGCCCCCGAGCAAGAAGAGCGCCGACAAAGCCGTCTCCGTGGAGGTGAGCGTTCCTGCCAGGGTCCTCTCCACCGGCGATGTCCCTTGGGAGCATCCTCAGGTTGCACGTGGAAAAGCCGGGATGTGGCCCGGGTCACGGGGCGGGTTGGGGGGCCCTGGTCCCGTCCCCGCCGCGAGGGCGGCCGCTGCAGCGCGCTCCGTCGCTCGCAGGCTGCCGAGCGTGACTGGGAGGAGAAGCGCGCGGCGCTGACGCAGTACAGCGCCAAGGACATCAACCGCCTCCTGGAGGAGACGCAGGCCGAGCTCATGAAGGCCATCCCCGACCTGGAGTTCGCGGCCAAGCACAAGCAGAGCGCGGGCAGCGCCGCCTCCACGCCGGAGCACAAGCCCTCCAAGGCGCAGCACGCGACGAAAGCCACGGGCAAGGGGGACCCCAACGGCCGCCGGGGCTCAGGTACCGCGCGGGGACGGCGGGGGACCTGGGACACCTGGGATCGCAGAGTGTTGTGGTTGGAGCGCAGAGTGTTGTGGTTGGAAAAAACCTTCAAGATCAAGCCCAAAATCTCGGGGGCAGGATTTTTGCTTTCTCCACGGATCTCTTTCTGCTCATGGCCAGGCTGTGTCCTCACTGTCCTTGTCCTGCTGTCACTGTGCGTTTCCCTGGGCACAGCGGTGGTGCCTCGAGGGGAGCTCTWCTAGACGGGGAGGCAGGAGCAGAGTCCAGGGCGTTGGATTGGGGAAGGGGAAGGGCTCTGCTCTCTCACGGTGTCTTCCGTGCCCAGATGAGCTGACGGTGCCCCGGTACCGGACCGAGAAACCCTCCAAGTCGCCGCCGCCTCCCCCTCCTCGCCGGAGCTTCCCCTCGTCCCACGGGCTCACCACGACCCGCAGCGGCGAAGTCATCGTCACCAGCAAGAAGGAGCCTGGTTTCATGAAGGTAGGGAGGTCCTCGGTGGCTGGAGCTGCGGTGCACGGGCCTGGCCCCTCATCCATCCCACTCTCCCCTTGCAGAAAGCAGAGTCGGAGGAGCTGGAGACGCAGAAGCCCCAGGTCAAGCTGCGACGGACGGTGTCGGAGGTGGTCAGACCTGCTTCCACGCCCCCCATCATTGCCTCTGCCATCAAAGATGACGATGATGAGGACCGCATCATTGCGGAGCTGGAGGTGAGCGCGGCAAGGGCTGTKGAGAGCCCTCGGTTCCTGGGACAGCAGCTCCGGCTTGGTCCACGTTGTCGCTCTAGATGTGATGGGAGTAGGGAACTGGTGGGTAAAGGAACATCTCAAGCCCTGGGCCTGCAGCAGGTCCCCCTGCTCCTTGTCCCACCTGCCAGCAAGAACGTGGCACTGTGGAGATGGGCCACACGAAGCGGCTGCAGCTGGTGGCAGTGCGGTGCTCCTGGYGCTCGGTGCCCGCTTTACCAGCCCTCTGCGGCGCTTCCAGTCTCGCGCTCCAAGACTCGTTGTCTTTAGTGCTGTGCAGCTTTGGCTGGAGGTTCTTTGGGTTTGGCCGCCCGGCACCCTGCAGAGAGGCCACCTGAGATGCCCTTCTGGGGCTCTGCATTGTGCTCCCTGCTAAGCCAGGTACTGCCCCACAGCCAGCTCCATGCGTTTGCCAAGAGCGAGGTGCCCAGGTGCCCTGCGGATCCCAGTGGCTCCCATTAGGATCCCACTAGGAGCAGCTTCATGGGCAAGTCATGCCTGCAGCCTCCTTGCAGAGGCACCAAGGCTCCTCGTCCCCTTGTCACGCCGAGGAGCTGGCAGTGATGGGGCAAACCTAGGCCCCATCTCAGAACCAGGGACCTTGTGTGTCTAGGCTGAGCATGCTGCTGGGGGCAGCCCAGGGACAGAGTTTCCCTGGCTGGTCCCCTGCCTCCTTGCAGAGCAGCTGGAAAAGGTTCAGAGGAGCAGCTCCGTGGTGGGACCTTGTGTGTCTAGGCTGAGCATGCTGCTGGGGGCAGCCCAGGGACAGAGTTTCCCTGGCTGGTCCCCTGCCTCCTTGCAGAGCAGCTGGAAAAGGTTCAGAGGAGCAGCTCCGTGGTGGTGCCTCCATGCCCAGGCTCTGCTCAGTGTCACACATGTGTTGTCCCCGAGAGCAGCAGATCACTTGCTACCAGTGGCCACCAAGCCCTGAGGAGCATCCCTGCGAGCGCAGCCTCCGCCGCCCTGCGCCTCCCGGCTCCAACGTGCCCTGTTTGACTCCCCAGGTGTTTCAGAGAAGCTCAGCCTCCCCTTTCCTCCCCAAGCTCCGTTTCGAGCCGCTCGCGGCTGCCGTCTCCCCTGGGCACGCAGACTTGTGGCCCAACGGAGCCTCCGGTGCAGCCCAAGGATGGAAGGTAACAGCTCCGAGCCCTCCTCCTGCCTCACAGGCTCCTGCTGCACTTTAACCAGCCTCATCTCCAGCCTCCTTTTAACTCTTTTTCTCTCTCTGCATCTCCTCTGGTTTAACAAACTAATGGCTCTCTTCACTCTTGCTCACAACCCTGTGTGCCACCCTGGCAYGGCACAGGACCGGGCACTAACCATGGCACTCCCTGTGCCTGCAATCCGGGGATGCTCCTGCACACACCAGCCCCTGGATGGGGAAAACACAGAGGGCACCCCCTGAATTGTGCATGGGGAGGGTGCCTGGTGACTTGTCCGGGAGGGTGTCACTGCCACAAGGGTGTCACTGTGGCGGGTGATGCATGAGGAGCCCCTGCCACGTGCATGATGCTGGCATGGGGTGAAGGGGCCCCGTGTGCCTCCCTCCCTGCCCTTCATCTTCCAGGGAGGGAGGAATTGGAGATGCCTGGAAGGTGGATGGAATGGAGCAGAGGGTGCCCATGGAGGGGGACAGGAGAAAAGGTGCAGAAAGGACCTAGCCAAGGGGAGCAGCAGGGCTGGRTGGGCTGCACCCATGGCAAGGGGACAGGCCCAGGGGGACACGGTGATGCAGAGCAGCTTCCCGTGTTCCAAAGGGGCCGCACGGTTTCCTTGCACCCTGCAAAGGCCTCCGTGGGTTCCCATCCTTGCCCAAACCCTGGCAGGGGATGCAGAGGCCCCTCTCTGTCACCGTGCTGTGACAGAGGCCGCGGTGCCACCGGCCCGTCACCGCAGCGCCGCCTGCCCCACGGCGACGAGCCCCTCTCCTCGGGCTGGACCCATCCCAGGCTGCAGGGGACACCTCTTCTGGAGAGCGTTTSTCTCCCGCAAGCCCTTCCACCGCCTGCGCTGGCCTCCCCCGGGGCACGGTGTCGTCCCTGGGGGACGTGGCACGGTGTTGGCCCCAGGGGACGTGGCGCGGTGTCGGCCCCGGTGGACGTGGCACGGTGTCGGCCCCGGGTGCCATGCACTCTCCCCATCGTGGCAACAGAGATGCAGGGGGAAGGGGGACAGTGTTTTCCTGGTGGCTTCTCAGCACTCGGGGCTTTAAAGGTCTTGCTGTCCTTTGCGGTGGATCTTCCCCTGCCTTTGACTCTCATTTCCAAAGGAATTTGAGCAATTTAGTTGTGCGCGTGAGTCCCGTAACCTCCTAAGGCCGAGGGAAGCTGGAATCTCTCTGTGCCTGTGAAAAATCAGAGGTGCCCAAGTGGCTGGGCCTGGGCGAGAGCCAAGCGCATCCCCTCGCAGCCTTGGTCTGCTCCCCAGCACATCCTAACGTGTCCGCCTTCCCCTCCCAGGAGCCGGAGCGCGTGGGGGCTCCGGGGAGCGGGACGGTCTCCCTGCCGCGGATCGTGCTCTCCGAGTGGGTGTCCCAGCCGCCTTCGCCCGAGGCGGAGCCGGAGGCCGCGCAGGGATCCGGCACCGCAGGCTGCGAGGACGGCAGCGGCGGAGCCGGAGCAGAGCGGGTGCCGGCGCCTCGGGGAGCACCAGGGCGCTCTGCGGAGGTGCCCTCCCCGGGCAGGCTCCAGGGCTGCCCCGACGAGCAAGCGAAGCGCCAGGCGTCTCTCGGCGCTGTGGAAGCATCCCCGGCCGCACGCGGAGGCGTTTGGGTGCTGGGCAGCGACGGGCCGTGTCCCCCGAGGCCCCAGGGCCAGCAGCCCCGTGGCGAGGGAAGAGGCCCCGCAGCGGTGCGCGCTCCTGCAGGAGGCGGCGGTGGCGGCACCCCGGCCCGCGGGGACGCTGCGCATCACGGCAGTGGAGCGGGCACGTGGGAGGTCACTGCTCCTGCCCAGATCCTGCCCCTGCCAGAGCCCAGGTCTTCCCTAGGCACCGATCCGGAGCAGCAAGGGAGCGGAGAATCCCAGGCTGGGCATCCCAAGGCACCAGCTCCAGGCCGGAGCAGCCTCCGTCTTCCCGCTCGGGGAGAGGCAGCCGGGATGGAGTCCGGCGTAGGAGGGATGACGGCGGCAGGTCCCTGTGCCCTGGGTCCTCGGGGAAGGCGCCCAGAGGACGCATGTCCTCCCCACTCCATGACCCCACGCAGCCAAGAGATTTGTGAAGGCACCTACCGGAGACTGGACAGCCTTGAGGAGACCATCCGCGAGCTGGAAATCACCATCAACGAAATCAGCAGCCACGCGGCCATCGAATTCGTGTTCCCCAAGCAGCTTCTAGCAGCGGAGCGCTCCGAGGACGCCAGCAGAGGCAGGGAGGCCGCTCCGGGGCGTCTCGCACGCGGCGGCTGTGCCCGTGGCCCTGCCCTGCATCTCCACGAGGCCAACGATGCTCCGGAGAGCCCGCTGGCGAGCAAGAGCAAACCAGCCGTGCGCCCAAAGCCGCCGCCGCCCCCGGGCAGCCTCCAGGTTCATTTTCTGTTATGCCCCTTGCTCTGCTCTACCCTCAGATTCGCTCGGGCACCTTCTCTTCCTCCGTCTGCCTGCCCCTCTCTGTGCATCTGCCTCCGGACAGGGCTGAGCTCTGAGCTCCTCTCCCTGGGGCAAGGACGGCTGAGAGGAGCGAGCGGGATGCGCGCGCTGACGGGGACGCTCGGAAAGCTGCTCTTCTCTCCTTCCTTTTTCCTTTCACTCCGCATAAGCACTTTCCTGACTAACTGCAGTTTAAGTGTCGCTGCAAAGCAGCAGATGTTTCTCCTAATTAAATCACAGCGCGGGCCCCCTCAAGCCATCCAAATTGGTTTCTGTTGGAATCTGCAGCAGCCGCTCGGCTTGCTGAATAGCTGGGGAAAAAAAAAAGAAAAGAAAAGGAAAACGGGTGGAAAAAAAGCCCTCAACCACACAGGAGTCWTCCTCCTCCTTTCTTAACGAGCAGTGCTCATCAATGCATCTCCCTTTTCATTTGCAGCAATTAGCTCAGCCCCGCTGCTCACTTACGCCCTGGCCCCCTCCCAGGCGCGCTGCGTAAGCGGCCCTTGCGCAGGGGGGAGCTGCAATTTCCTCCTGTGGAGACTCCTTGTGCAAACCCGGAGCCGAGCTGCGAGAGGGATTTACTGCTGGGGTGGATGCGTGCTGGGAGCTCGCAAAGCAAAGSCCAAATCGGGGCTTGGTAGGAGCGGCTGCAGAGCTGGGCTTSCTCTGGGCGCTCCTTAAGTTGGAGTCGGAGAGGGCTAGTCTTGCTTGAGGTTTCCAGGCTGGTGCTGCTTGGATGCAAAGGCCAAGACCCAGCTGCATTGGTGTCCAGGGTGGAATGTGCTGGGGATGGGAATGGCACCTTTCTGGGGCAGCCTCGAAAGTGCTGTTTTTGCCACTTTATTCGTCTGCTCGAAAGATTTGCTCCCGGTCACTCTGTCGCTGCTGTTCTTGCAAGCCCTTGTGTCTCGATCTATGCAAGACAGTGAATAAAAACCTCTGTATTCCCACTGCCGGTGCCTCCACCTGGAATCTGTTTCTGTCTCGTGCCGCCTCTTTCCCTTTCTCCGAGCTGGGCATCCCCTCCATGGACAGGGCTGCTCTGCTCCCACTCTCCGCCTCCTGTTTGCACTGCCTGCCCCAACCTGCCCCGTTCGGCTCTGCGTCCCCAAGTCCCGGCCAGCCTCCGAGCTCCCTGGAGCGGGTGCATTTCTCCTGGGAACGTGGATCTGGTGTCTTTGTTAACATGGGCACCAGCTGCAAGGTGCCTGCAGGACACCGGGGCTGGTGGTGAAGGTGCCAGGACCCGATGCATCCCGCACGCAGTGCCCGGCTGCGGGAAGAGCTTGCACATTGGCACATAATGCACATTATTATCCTGCTGTTTTTAACCCCTCTCCCCCATTTTTCTGCCTCCTCAGAGTGGCGGCGTCTCCATCCCGGCCATGAAGATGGTGAACCCGGCGTCGAGGCTGAAGCAGAGCCAGCAGGGCAGCCCCGACAAGAGCAAGCACATAAAGCAGCGAATGGAGTACATGAGGATCCAGGGACAGCAGCAGGTAGTTTATCTCTAGAGCCGCCTCGCCGGCTCCGCTCGAAGCAGCGTGAGCTGCAAGCGAGCCCGGATCCTGCTTGGTCCCYACGGTCCACAGGGGTGGTGGGCAGAGGGGTCTGCCCTCGCTAGGTGCCCTCGCTGGCACTGCCGAGGGCCTGGGGACCTGCTGCTGGACGGGAGGATCCCTTGTGTTGTCTGGGCACGATGGTTTCTTGGGCATGGGGACACCACCCTGCGCATTTGATGCAGCAGGAGGTCCCCGAGTGCCAGGGCTGAGCCCCRGGCTGAGCGTGGGGCAGGGGCTGTGACGCCCTTGTCCCCAGGGACCCGTAGACCTCTCAGAAGAGCATCTTGGGCTCTGGTGACGAGAGGCTTGGTGTCGCAAGCAAGGCGTCTGGTGCAGCCTGAGGCTGCGGTGGCCTCCCCGCGTCCCCGGCGGCGCCGCAATGACCCGCATTGCCCCTCCTCACCTCCGCACCGGTGTCCCSCTTTCCACGGGCACTGCAGGGCTTGGGGACAGCCCCGGGTCCACAGAAGCACCTTTCCCTGGGCGGGGGCAGCAGGGCTCATCCTGCCCCGTCCTCCCTTCCCTCCCCGTTCTGTGTGTCCCTCTCTTTCCCCGGGCCTGTCTTGAGCAAACCTCCCAATAAATCCAATTTTGCTCGTTCTCTTGGAACCGCACACCCAGTCAGATGAAGCCATGTTTTTTTTCCCAGTTGCCTCCAACTGTAGCTGGGGAAAGYGGGGAACAGATTTCATGCAGCTTGGGCAAACATGAGCAAAACGGGCGGCCCCATCCTCCCCTGCTCCGTCCTCCCTAGCCCGTGCCGTCGGCCCAGCCTAGTCCCTCGTGTAGCCTCCGGTGCTCCAGGTTGGAGCCGCATCCCCGTGGTGCATCCTTGTGCTGCATCCCCATGTGCCCATGGTGACAATCGCCTGCATCCCAGCTTGGGAGCCTGCAGACGGGTCCAAGCGGGCCCCTCCGGCCCCTGGACCCGGTGGCTGCAGTTTCGGCGCGTGCAGGTTTCCGTATCCCCGGTGCAGGGGYGAGGTTTTGATCCGCCCCGGGCACCCAGCGCCCGAAAGGGCCATGAGAGGGGTCTGCAAGCAGCTCGCTGGCCCCAWGCTGCCCTCGGCACAGCTCCCCTCCTCACGCTTCGGGCAAGACCCCCACGTCCTGTGCCCAGCCCCGGTGCTGGTGCCGCCGTGCGCCCGTGGCACAACGGGGCTGCGTCCGTCCCGTCCCGCGGCGCCAGCCCCACGCGGCCCCGGCTCGCTCTAACGCTGCCCTTCTTGTCCCCCCTCCCCGACTCTCTGCCCTCTCCCCCGCCTCTGTGTCTGCGTGTCCGTCCTCGTGCCCGTGTGCCCGGCGCTCTGTCCGCCCCGCTCCTCCTGCCGCTGTCCCCGTCCCGCGCAGTGACGCGCGGGACCGGCTCGCCTCGTGCTCTCTTTGTGGTGGACCCTTCCCAGCTGCTTGACCGCAGGCCTAAGTCACTGCTGCTTCTGAACAAACTCGTGTTTTTCGGTTGTTCTTTCCTTTTCTTTCTCCTTTTTGGTCTTTCTTTTGGTCTTCTACGAAACTGTCTGACTCTCCTCCCCTCTTCCTCCTCCTCCTCCTCCTCCTCCTTGAATCTTACTTTTCTTTCTAGGCCGCTAGAGCATCTAAAGAGGCCAGCGAGGCCTCCCCTGCCGTGGCAGAAAAACCCGCAGCGGGCAGAACCTCCATCCCCGTATTGACCTCCTTTGGGGCCAGGAACTCCTCCATTTCGTTCTGAGGCTCCGCGCGCGCCCTTCCTCCCTCGGCCGGGCTCCTCCAGGACCTCCGGGGCGCTCCAGGGCGGCCGGAGCGCGGCCCCGTCCTCCGGCTCGCGTCCCGCTCCCAGCGCACCCGCCGCCCGCTTGCTTTCTCTCTCCTCTCTCTCACTCTTTCATTTCGCTTTCCTGTGTTGTTTCTTTGTTATTATTATTTGCGTCTCCTTCCTTGTTCCGTTCCGCTCGCTCTCGTCCTTGGGTTTCTTCCCTGCTCGCCGCCGGCGGTTGCTGTTTGTCCAAGCAGCGCCGCGGGGCGCGAGCGAAGCAGGGGGCAAAACGGGGGGCACGCGGCCACCCAAGACCCTGCAGCCCCCCCGCCACCCGCCGGTGCTCCCGTTGGGCTCACGGAGCTATCCAGGCTCGCGGAGCAAGGTCAGTGGCCAGCACGGAGGGAACCGGCGGGCACGGGGTGCGCGGGGAGCGGGCGGCGCGTCCCAACGTGCCCCTTGACCGCGCGCCACGCGGGGGACACCGCGACACGTCCCTGTCCCATCCGCTGCCGGAGGATGCTCCGGAGAGCGGTCTGGGCTTGCTGGGGCTGCATCCCCGTCCCCGGCATGCAGGAGCAGCACCCAAGGGTGCCGGCGCGCCCCGTGCTCGCTCCGTGCACCGTGGCGCACACAAGCAAACCGCTCCTCTCGTCAGCCAGCTCGGCGCCGGGGTGGGTTTTGGTTCTTTTCTTCTTTTCTCCCCGCCCCTCCCTGTCTTTTTTTGTAAACCGATCATTTTTGTACAGAAGAACGAGCCTTTTTTTGAATAACAAAGTGAAAAAAAAATACAAAAAAAAAAAAAATCATGATGCAATTTCTTTGGATTGCAAAAAAGCAACTCTTTACATTTAAGTGAAGTGTCTTAACATTTTATATTGTTTTAAAAAATATATTTACATATTATATATATATAATATACGTAATATAAATATATATATAWAAATATTTAAAAAAAGAAAACAAAGAAAGGAATAAATCTCTTCATGTCTGGTGTGTTAGGGGTGGGTTTGCTTCCCCGGGGACGCCGGAGAGGGGCAGCTGGAGGGGGCTGGGGGCCCTGGTGTCCCCCCATCCCCTGGCCCTGCTCCCCAGCCCTGCTGGGGCCGTTGCTGGGCTGGGGGTGCGAGGGGGCCGGGGCGGCCCCTCCTGGCAGCAGTAGCAGGATCTCCTTGTGTCCAAGTGCGGAGTTTTTGAGTTATTTTTCTCGGTACCAAAGGGAATCTCTGTAGCGATGCCACAGCTTCTTATGGAGGGGGGGCTCCTGCTCTCCATCCCCCCCTCAAGTGGTGCCTGGCCCCCCTGCCCTGCTCTTCCCAACCCATGGCCCTGGTGCCTGCGGGGGACACCTGGGGGSACTCGTGTCTGGGGGTCCCATGGGGTGCATGTGCTGGGGACGGTCACAGTTGACTCTTGGTACCTGGAGCCCCCTTGGGTGCCTCTGGGCACATCTGGCTCGGACACCCCCCTCCAAGGCACTGTCCCCCACCCCTTTTCTCCATAATATCCTGTGGCTGCCGGGGCCAGGAGGGGAGTGCAGGGAAGCAGGGGGTGCCCCRTTCCTCATTTCCCCTGATTTCTCCCCATTTTTTTCCCCCCCACCTGCACCTCGCCGGCGATCCCGCTAGTTTTCTATGTGCGCGTGTGTGTCGGAGTGCGTGCGTGTGCGTCCCTCGTGTCATGGCATCATGCAACCGTGTGTGACCGCCGTCCTCGTGCGTGTGCTCAAGCCAGAGGGCAAGAAAAAAAAATGAGAAGGGCGCCAAAGAAACCCGCCCGACTTCAAAAAAGACAAAAAAAAAAGAGGAAAACGTTGCAAAAACGACCCAGAAAATCATAAAAAAAAATGAGCGCTGCCTGCATCGTGCATGTGTCCGGAGGCACCCGCTGCATGCGCACCCCGCTTTACTCGTCTGGATGTTGTTTAAAAAAAAAAAAAGCTTATGACTTTTAAAAGGACAAAAAAAAAAAAATATGTTCCTACTACTCTTTAGAGGCTGTTTTGGGGTTTTTACGCCGTCGTGTGTCTCTTAGCATGAATATTCTCGTGAGCTGTTTGGAAAAGCGCAGCGAGGCGCGCGGTGCGCGGTGGCCGCCCGCGAGCCTGTAGCGTCGTTCTCTGTATCTCGGATGCCATGGGTAGTTCTGTGCGAAACGTGACCCTTGTGACTCGCGCCCCTGCCYGGGGTGCCTTTGAGCTCCTTCCTCCCCTTTCCTACTTTTCTTTTCTATCAGAGTGTCTGGCTTTAATAAAATACTTTTTTTTTTTTCCTCTATAGCTTCTTTTTTTTTTTCATTTTAATGCTCCCACGGTGCTGGGGAGGGATGGAGGGTGAGGARGCTCTGGCCCCTAGGTGGTTGCACTGAGGAGAAAGCCAAGGAAATCCTTTCCGGAATGCCGTGAGCATGGGAAACAGGGAAATGCATGGAAAATGGGTCTGGAAACCCCTCCGCCATACAGCAATATGGAGCAAACCTCCTTGGATAACCAGTTTATTTCCAATATATAGACCAGGACTTGTGGGAAGACGATTTCCAAAGCAGAGGGTTTAGGGAGGGAACTCTGTTTAGAGGGTTTTTTTGGCAGTTTTTGCATATCCCAGATACACGTCCGACTCTTACAACACGTCAAGGGGGACGGGGGCGAGGGGGGATGCACATGCAGAAGGGTTTAAAAAGTCAACACGGGCCCAGCGCGTCGCGCGGTCGCGGCCGGTCTCTCCACAGAGCAAAACTTCTTAAAAAATCCTTATAAATCCTTTGTCATATGTTACACATTTAGAGACAATATTTACAAAAAAAAAAAAAAGAGAGAAAAAGAGAGGAACCCCCCCAACCCTTTACAGCAAATATTTGCATAACGCACGGGACGACGTGGCACCGAGGACAGGGGATCCCATCCCGCGGCTCTCGCTGTGGGCGCCCGGGGTCCCGCGCTGCCTCTGGGGCCGCCGCCACCAAAYGCGGGGACAGGTCCCCGGTGGCAGCAGGAAGGAGGCTCCCGTTGTCCCAGTGCTGGGGCAGTTTTGGGAAGGGCGCTGGAAGAGCCTCCCGCATTCCCAGGCACCGCATCCGAGCATCCGCGGCCAAGCATCCCGGGATGCGGCGTCCCTGGGATGCGGCGATGCCGCACGGGGCAGGGGGTGGCGGGTAGGACCCCTGAGGCCACCTGCGTGTCCCCATAGCGAGCGGGACCGAGGTGACTTTGCCCCTCTGCTGGCCCGGAGAGCCATCGGGGAGGGAGGGACACATAGTGACAAGGCTGGGGGAGGAAACTGTTAAATAAAAGCAGCTTGTCCAGAGCACAATTAAATACGTGAGCACACGAGTCCTTAAATTAAAGGCTGCTCCCACCCCTGGGAGCTGGCACGGAGGGAGCCGGGCAGTCAGAGCGGGGGCTGGAAGCGCAGGGAGGCGCCGGGGCTGCCCGGGGGGCTGCGGGTGGCCGCTGTCCCCGCGGTGGCCGCTGGCCGGGCTTTGGTGGACTCCAAGCTGCTGAGCCCCGAGTCCTTGTCGGGCGGCCGGCGCGGCGCCGGCGCCATCGTCACCATCATCATCCTCGCGGCCTCGGCGCCGCGCGGCTCCATCCAGTGGCCGCGCGCCAGCTCGGCGGCGGCGGCGGGCAGCACCACGGTGTGCCGGCGCCAGCCGCCCTTCCTGCGGCGGGTA